TATTTTTTTTAATCTTGATTTCATTATTGTTAAGGTTAATCACAAGATTAAAATTTGTGAGAGATGATTAATTTCGATATTGATTGCTTTTTAATTCTGGTGGAATTGAAAAGTTGGGGATCAAGAAAACAGAGCAGGGAACTGTTTCATTTATTGCTCACTAGTTTATTTCAATCCATTGGAATTTTATATTATATTATTTTATTTATTCTTATATTCAAGAATTGTTAAAAGTGATCTTCCTGGTTTTCTTTTCCTAATACAAATTTCTGAGTTTGAAATGCTAGAAGGATAGAGTTCCTTTTTTCCCCTTTTGAGAGATAGTTTGATAAGGTAATTGATTTTATTTTATTTTTTATTTTTTTTTTTTATTCTTGGTGGATAAAATTCATATATGTGAGGAGGAGTTTGCAGTTGTTAATCCTATATGCATTGTATCTTTTAAGCTTGATAATCATAACATATTATTTGGCAGTTCTTTCGCTTGTTCAGTAAAATGAAAGAAAACAAAACAAAACATGTGGTATATAATATACGATGAGGACTTTTGGCCGTGCCATTTGATTCAAAGTTGGATGTTGATACTTGATAATGACATAAAACTACTTTCACCTAAGTCACTTAATCACTTATTACGAAGCCTCTGAATTCAAATATAATTTCCTTATATTCCTCTTGCAAGTGGTAGGATTATAATATAATTACTTTCTCTTTCTCTCTTCCCTTTTTTCCTCGAAAAAGATATCCTGCAATATGTTCATGCAACTAGCTTGAGGTATTTTTACTTTAGCAAGAAATTTGATTTCATGGACAAAAAAGAAGTCAATAGTAGTTGAAAGTTTAGCACGGTTGGTGATTCGAATATGGGTCTGCCAACATTTAATAAACTCAATTCATTTGACTTAATTTTTCAAAAGTCTGATACAGTTGAAAGATTCTTGCTGACTTATTCCCTTTGCTTTTAATGTCTCTATTTTCTTCACTGTCTCTTTCGAGACCATCAAATATAAGATTGTAAGAACCCCACATGCATGTAAATGGCTCAAATCATTTTCAGCTTAATGTCTCAAAGCAGGTTATGATCAAATAGCATTAACGTTTGTCCAATATTCTTTCAGGACAAAGGCTTTGATGGTGGAGGCAGGGATCTTATCCAAATTACCAAACAACATAAACAACTCCTTAGACGAAAATTCCAAGCAAGAATTCGCACATCTCCTCTCGTCCGTATCGGCCCTAGCCAACACCAAATTCTCACTCGACTCGTCAAAACTAATTCCCGCCATAATCTCCATTCTCGATTCTACTTCACGCATCGAAACCAAAAAACTATGCCTAACCGCTCTACACAACCTCTCGTCAGTCCTAGAAAACATCGACATTTTAACTTCCAACGGCACCATCGACTATTTAATAAACCTATCGTCCAATAAACAAACGGCCGAAAAATCCCTAGCGATTTTATCCAACTTGGTCGTGACCCTCGCCGGAAAAAGGTCGATCGAGCGAAATCCGGCCGTCCCCGGCCAGTTCATAGAGATCACGACGTGGGAAGAAAGCCCAAAGTGCCAAGAATTATCCGCTTACGTATTGATGGTCTTGGCCCACCAGAGCCCGTTGATGAGGCAGAAGATGTCAGAGGCAGGGATTGTTCAGGTGCTTCTCGGGCTAGCTTTGTTGGGAAGCCCGTTGGGCCGAAAGAGGGCCCTCAAGATACTGCAGTGGTTCAAGGACGAGAGGCAAATGAGAGTGGGCCCGCACTCGGGCCCGCAGGTAGGGAGGAGAGCGGCGATTGGGTTACCAGTGGACGATCGGAGGGGTGCTGAGGAGGAAGGGAAGGTGTTGATGAGGAAAATCGTGAAGGAGAGCTTGTATAAGAATTTGGAGACGATCACGAGTCGGGCAAGGGATGGGGATGAGGATGCCTTGAAGCTTAAGGCATTGGTGGTTAGTTCAAGCTCCAAGAGCTTGCCTTACTAGATGACTAGTTGATTGTTGTGTACTTACAATTTCTGTCTATTTATTCCTTTTTGAGGGAAGAAAAAGAGGGGAAGAGAGTTGAGTGCAATTGGTGTATTTTATGAGGGAAAATGAGATTGCACCTTGAGCAAATTAGAGGGAACAATACATTTGGTTGTACATAGACTTATTAATACGTGACGAGCCGCTCTCCAGCTGGGCTCTACTCGTTGGTCTCGAGAAAAGATGTTTTACATAATTTTATGTGTTTTTACCTTAAGTCGATTCGTTAATATTGATAAACAAATCAAACTCGAGCTCGTTTATTGGGCTGCTTAGTTAATGAGCCAAGCTGCTTGACTCGGCTCAGCTCTGTTACATGATTTTGGCATGCATGTTAATCCACATCCCGAGGTGCCCCGCCTTGGGCCGCTAGTTGGGCGGGCTTAGCCNATACTTTAACAAATACACTAACTAATTTCAGGTTATGTTTGGGTTCAGTGATTTATTGAGGGATTTAAAATTTATAAACTTTGAATTTACAAGTTTGAATTCTCATGCAGGTTGGGAATTGGTATGATAATAAAAGGTGAAGTATTTTAAATTCACGTTAGATAGATGTTGGTTATTATTTTGAAAAATTTTAAATGACTAGTAATTTAAAATTCACTATTTATCCCACAATTGACGACCACACAATGGATTTATAATATTTTCTACAAATCTAGGAGTTTAACGCCTAATGGGGGATGGACTGGCCCGCGGGCTAATGCGGTTTTGATGGCTCTACGTGGACGCATTTCATTTTTTTTTCCCCAAAACGATAGAGGTACTATATTAATAAAACCGCACAAAGTGCGAAAAGACCCCAACAGAGTGCCAGAGACTATAAAAGTGGGAGGCAGATCCGAAGATCTGCCTAGAACCGTCTAGCAACGCTAGAATAACAAACTCGCAACTACACTAACAACTAACAAAAACTAACACAACTAAAAAAGACCCCAACAGAGTAATACCCGAGTGTTGGATCCCAACAGAATAATAAAGTGACAAACAGGTTCACATAGGCCAACGGCCCAGACCAAAAACACAATCGAAAATTACACTAGACACGAACACAAACACAAAGAACAACCAAAATAAAAAAACCTAATCTAAAGGCAAACAAAGCCCTTCCCCATTGAGATAACCGAACCCAACACAAGGCACCAGTGAAATCAAGACCAATCACCCTATAGCTTGACTCAAAAACCGGAACACCACTCCCGCCACTGCCTAATGCCTAGCAAAGGAAGAGTCCCAAGCCTCGAACCACTCCACGAATGAAGTCGACCCACAGCCTGAGGAGGATCGATCAACCCCACCACACAGACCCGCTTCCCGCGACCCGACCAAACACCACTGGTCCGAATCCGGGCCTGTCGGGCATCCAGCTCCACAAAACCAGCAAAGTGTACATAGGGGCATGAACCAACCGCCTAACCACGGCCGACACGACTCAAACGAGCCGAGCCACCAAGGTCCCACCCAACCCCAACCACAACCACTCACCTCCTTGAAGCAACCCACCACGAACCTGGCGCGCAGCGGACGAGTTCCCACCGGTGACCGAGCAGGGAAGAAGCCAACCGACGGCCAGCCCCAAAGCCCCAAAATGGAGAAACCGAAAAACGGAACCACGACCAGCGAGAAGGAAGTGGCGAGACTGCCGACGACTTGGGAGAAACCCATCGGCGCAGAAGCACTGGTGAGAGAGAAATTGGGCCAGGATGACACAGTTGAAGGCCATCTGCCGGCTAAAGGGCCGGCGAATTGCCGGGGAAGGCGCGCGATGTACGGAAATTAGGCGAGCAGCTGTGAGGGTTTTTGGAGATCGAGAGAAATTGCAGCTGTGAGCAGCTATGGACGCATTTCATTATTCATTACTCCCTCTATTTCTTTTTTGATGTCGTTTTAATTTAAAACTTTTAAATTGCGATTTTCATGGGATGTGTAACAATTTTATATATTAATCCTCATAAATTTAGTGTTTGAATTATTAATGGTTGGTTTTAAAGATAATGACAAGAAATAAAATTTGTTAAAGAGGATAAAGTTGAAAAAATAAATAAAATATTTCCAACGACAACTAATTTGTAAAAATATTGACATCCTACAACGACATGTATTAAGAAACAGAGAGAGTATAATTTTATTAACTTACTACTCAGCTCCTTGTTTCATATATTCAAGATAAGATGTTTTTTTTTCCATTATATTATTAATTAAATTTTTAGTTTTTTAAAATGTAAGTAATTTATGATTTTATAATAATTTTAATTGTATCAACTAATAGAAAACGTCTAATTTTACTCAACACCTTTTTAATAACATTAATGTCATCTGTTAGCCAAAATAATTAACACAATACGTTGGACAGAAGAACAACTAATATAATCAGCTAATCGTTGAGTACTTATACGTATATTGCCAAACAAGTCAATAATATAATGAGAAATTCTATCAAACTTGGTGAAACTAACTATTTTTAAGATATGAACTTTTCCATGTAGCCCAACAAGATTTTAGTTTTACAAGTACCCACGAGACAGGAGGGCCTAAACACACCACCAGCCCATGATTCATTACCTAAACTAGCGGACGATACGGCGTCGTATTGAGATGTTGAGTAGATTATAAGAGCGATGAGAGACGGTTTTAAAACACATCTTCTCAGTAGGGTTTTCTCTTCCGAAGGAGACACTCGATAGACTCTCTCTCCTAGGGTTTTCTAATCCCATCCATGGATTTTACCAAGAAGCGCAAGGCCGATGATAACGGCTTGGCATACCCCTTAAACACAGAACACACCAACGCGATGGGGACGGCGCCGGCGGCCCCAACCGGCGCCTTATCCCCTGAAGACGTGGAGAAAATCCTCGAACCCTTCAAGAAGGAGCAGATCCTCCCTATCCTACGCGCCGCCATCCTCCGCCACCCCGATGTCCTGGAGGCCGTGCGCGCCGTCGCCGACGCGGATCCCGTCCAGCGTAAACTCTTCGTTCGCGGCCTCGGCTGGGAGACCACCACCGATAAACTTCGCCAGGTGTTCTCTGCCTACGGCGAACTCGACGAAGCCAACACCATCGTTATCACCGATAAGAGTTCCGGAAAATCCAAGGGCTACGGATTCGTCACGTTCAAGCACATTGACGCTGCCGTCCTTGCTCTGAAGGAGCCGAATAAGAAGATCGACGGCCGCATCACTGTGACTCATCTCGCAGCCGCCGGCAGTTCAGTTAACTCTCACTCTGCTGATGTGGCGCTGAGGAAGATTTATGTTGGTAATATCCCGTTTGAGATCTCGTCTGAGAGGCTGCTGGCACATTTCTCTATGTACGGCGAGATTGAGGAAGGGCCGTTAGGGTTTGACAAGCAGACTGGGAAAGCCAAGGGTTTTGCGTTTTTCGTTTACAAGACAGAGGAGGGTGCAAAGGCGTCTTTGGTTGATCCCATGAAAACCATTGACGGACATCAGGTGGTCTGTAAGTTGGCTACAGATAACAAGAAGCAGAAGCCAAATACCGGGTCAGCTGGTGGGGTTGTACCTGGACCTGGGATGCCAGCTTCTGGGCCTATGCCACCCAGGAATTACCCAATGGGAGGCTATCCAGGATATGGGCTGGGCCCAAACATGCCTCAGCTGTCCAACCAGACTGGAGTAATGCATCAGAATGCAAGTTATAACACACCGATCTCTGGTCCCGGGGGACCTGGTGGACAAGGTTATGTTGGTGGCTATGGAGGTGTGGCTTCTGGCTATGATAGTGTAGGTGTGGCTGGACCTGGGGATTATGCTGGACCAATGGGCAATACTGGATCATACAAAATGCCACCTAATAGTATTGGGATGCAGGGTTCAGGGGTTTATCCAGAGAGTGGCAATTACGGGCCCCAGGCAGGGTACCCACCCCATCCGAACCATCATGCAGGTCCAGGGCCCCGGTTTCCGGCTTATCAGGGCATGCCCCCATATTGAGGTAATGGATATTTTGATTTGGTAATCTACATACCATATAATTCTTTGCATGCTGTCATCCTAGTTAGGTGCGTACCCTTATGTGTTAGACTAGTGGATAGAAGACTAATCAAAATATGAAACTAATAACACTATTTCTGTCCTACAATTGACCTAAATCCTTGATAGTGGTGATACATCGTGTGCCATTGAAGGTAGACAACTGCATTAATCACTGGTTGAGGTATATAACACTATGGAGCATTGCCTGTCATTTAGTTGTACTGGGAAAACTGTGGATTATGCTGTATTATGCTTTCTGTTGAAATAAGTGTCTTGTATGTATTCTGCTATCCTTTTATATTCTGTTCGCATGTTCTTTATTAGGAAGCAGGCGTACAATTTTAACACGTTGCAATATATTTGAGTTTGCAATTTGAATGATGGATTGAGTTTTGCATGTTTACGTGTTCAGGTTTTTGACAGCTTCTTGGGAGCAAATGTTTTAATGGTTATGGTGATTATTGATTGCCGACTGTGAAATCTTTGGTTGATAAATGGACTGCTGTAGATCTTTGGCTGCTTCAATCTGCTACTATGTGGTTACCTTAATGAGCAGTATATGTGCTAGAATGAGATCAGAAATGATACCTTTTAGACATCGAACCTGATTTTTCCCTTTTTTTATGTTCAAGCTTCATTTTATCTAATTTCCAGTATTTCTAGGTGATTGTAATTGCTACTTCTATTGTTTTTCTACTGGTTGTTGAATGTTGAACGTCCTTTATATTCTACATACCTTTGTTACCTGTGGTGTCCTGTAGTATGCGTATATTTTTGTCCTTTATTTGTCACGGTGCAACTTTGGCTTATAAAACATTTTGGCAGATATGCCGGTTTATTGTATTCCTTTATTTTTGCTCAATGCATATTGCTTATCAACTGGATTGGAAATATGTGTGACCCTATCCTGTGTAATTTACAGTTCACTGGAATTGGATTCCATATTCACCATGAAGATTTTTTTAGGAGATTAAGTTCATTGTGGTATCCTGAAGGCACAATTGAATATGAAACATCTTTAGTATCATTCTATAACAGAAAACAATTGTTTTCCAAAATTGTTATTGGATTTACGATATCTCAGGAAGTATTTGCTCACTCAGTGACATTTAGATGTTTCACAAATGAGAACTTGTTAATGCTACACCTTTTCCGATAGGCGATTTGCATTCTTTTAAACTACAAATCATTGTCAGCTTTCATCATTACATCCCGAGCATCCATTCGCTCTTAAAACTGATAATTCTTCCCTTAAAATTGAGAACAAAATTTTCAAACTAGAAGTACACCCTGTCTCACCATAAGTTCTTTTATTCTTGCTGTGTTACATTTATTGTTAAGTATTGTGTAGTGCTTTCTGTGGTTTTCTGGGCTCTGTCGATTCTATTAACTAAAATCCGAGTTCTCTTGTCTTTCTTAATTATTATTTTATTGTTTTTGTGGGAAAAAATGTAACTAAAATCAGAGTTCTCTAATATTATGCGTAGAGTTAAGAAATCTTCCCTCGGTGTCTGGATGCAGTTTTAACAAATTGTTGTCAGCCTGTGGTCTGTGCTCAGGCATTATGTGTAGTGTTAAAAGTTATCATTGCTTGTGAATCTGGAGACACATTTCAAGAAATTGGTGATCCGGTCCAGTTGGTGTGGCAGTGTTCCTTTTTCTGGTTGCTGAAAACATTTCAAATCTGTCCCATCACTTTATGTGGAAAGAGTTTGTTTTGGTGCTTTGATATGGAAGTTTGTGTTGTTTCACCCTGGAAACTGAGAATTATGGTGAAACATATGAACACTTGTTTGTTTGGTTGGTGACCCCCTGATATTTATGTTAAGTTGCATGCTGAATGATTTTGATTTAACAACTTTCTGAGAAAAACAGTTTTGGTGTTGGCATTTTTTTCCATATCATGTACTGGCGTTGTTAGTTTCATTTTTTCTCGAACCAGTTCTGGACTAGTGTTGTGATATTCTTAACTGGGTAGTCTAGTATTATCTGACCACGATTTAACTGAGCATTTCTAGTTTTTGTTTCTGTTGCAATTGACAAGCTGGTTGATTAAGCCATTGTTATAACCACAGTGTCTTGAGATATCAAGATCTTATATTATAATAGAAGGCAATTGCTAGACTTTATAATCCAGGGATATGTAGTCACTTAAGTTCTGGGGAGATGCCTTGGTATAATGTTGCTGAAAATGAAGAATGCTCGTCCAAGATCCGCTGCCTAACTTCCTTTATGCATATCTGAAAGTTGGGTTTGCCCATGCGTTGTTGCTTGGACCTTGGATGTCAAATGGATGCGGGCTTTGTAAGCAACTCCGGAGCTTTCTCTTGGGCCAGAAATGGATATGAAATTTTGTTGAGCACTTTTAGAAGGTGCAGAGGATGTTCTACTCCTTGGGCATGTGCTATACACCGATAAATGAAATGTTCTCTAAGCTCTATCAAGATTGACTTGGCCGTTTCTAACTGGGCCAAACACTGTTGAGAATAATATGGTTTGGACCATCGGGCCATCCAAGGGCTTGAAATTGTGTGGTTTTGTGTTTTGTCATAAAAATCTAACTGTATTTTGAGGAGATTAATGTAGATGATCTTCTTGATGCAGTTGGATGATCGTAAAAATCCTTTTGTGTGGGATCTTTTATATATCATCCCTTTGTAACACACCCCCTTTGAATTTAATGAATTCCATTTTTTTTTTTTAATACAGGGTGGGGGTATGATTAAATCACCTCTTCAGTATAAGACTAATTATGGTTCCAATTTAGGTGTGTTATTCTTTAGAAAGCCTATTCTTGATTGACACATCGAATAACGGTATAAATTATATGATAATCGCTACGAAAGTTGTGCATTACAACAACGTTGATTAAGAAACTATCCAAAAAAATTACAAAATAGAGAAAAATATATTTTTTTATCTAAGATTTTTCAACTGCTTAAATATGTAATTTAATTTTTATTTAAAATGATAAATGTGACAAGGCTAGGCTGCATTATTACAACAACGTTGATTACGAAATTATTCAAAAAAATTACAAAATATAGAAAAATATATTTTTGTATCTAAGATTTTTCAACAGCTTAAATATGTAATTTAATTTTTATTTAAAATGATAAATGTGGCAAGCCCTTATCTGAGTTCACCCTGTCATGGTGCGCTTCATTTGTGTGGGATCGCACACGTTGTACTCTCAATTCTTACACTCAGCACAGGGCTTTGGACTTTTCACCTGGCCAGGTAGCTCGTTGAGCCACTCAAGGAAGAAGTCGAAGGTGATAGGAGGAAGTCACTCAAGGAAGAAGTCGAAGGTGATAGGAGGAAGTCAGATAAAATAGT